ACACACACACAGAGAGACGCATGGCTATATAATATAGGCGGCAGGTCGTCGTAGGTCGGTCGGCAGGCAGGTCACATCAGGCAGACAGGTTAAGGTTATCACGTTATCACGGGTGCGTGTGTGTGTTCGTTCGTATGCAGGGAGGTATGCCGGCACATAAGGAAGCAGGAGACTACTAAGGGCGTCTCCCTCTCTCTCTCTCTCCGGCCCCCTCCCCCTACCCCTCCCTCCCCTTCCCCCCTCTCTCTCGCTCACTCGAGCATGGTCACACGTCAATTCATTTCTCATTCATTCACGGCAAACAAGCACCACACTCACGCATCAGCATCAGCACCAGCACTCGTCCGGTCCGCTCGCTCAGACAGTGAGTCAGTCGGACAGCAGGTGACAAATCAGTACATTATATAAGATAAGGTAGATAGACAGAAGAGTCGGCCCCTCCCCCCACCCTGCGCCAATGTCCCCCACCCTGTCTGACACACGCACACAGAACTGCCCGTCCGTCAGTCCATCCATCCATCTATCCATGCATCAGGCAGCGAATTCCCTCTCTTGCTTTCTCTTTCATCCTTCCTTAGCGGGCATCTACACACACGGCACCGCACGCCTCTCTACCTACCCACCTACCCACCCAGAGGCTACTGCTCCCTGTGTTTGGGATAGTACCCCTTGGCCCCACCCTCCACCACACTGTTGGCCGGCAGCCGCACCGGCCGGTTCCCACCACCAGCACCGTCCGTCATGCTGTGCGGCGAACTCCCCCCACCCATCCCCCCGCCCACACCCACCCAGTGGCCATGGGGGTGCTGGTGGAAATGCGGCGCGAATGTCGTCGACGCGGCCCGGTACTGCTCCGCCCGTTTGCTGACACTGAGTGGGGGTGCAGACATGACAGCAGGCACTGCCGTGGCCGTGTGGGGGGCCATCCATGAGGTTGGCGACGGGTGGTGGAAGTGGGGGAACGCTGCGTGGGGTGCAGGGTGTGGGGGAGGGTGGGGGTGTCCGTGTGAGTGGGCGTGATGTTGATGTGTGTGGGGGGTGGGTGCTGGTGCTGGTGCTGGGGCGGGGTAGTGGCTGGGCGGGGAGCTGCCTGTGGATGAGGGGTAGCCGGATGGCGAGCCGCTGCTGGTGGAGAGGGAGGGGTGGGGGGAGATGGGGGAACACGACTTGGGCGACGGCAGCAGTGTCACCGGCAGACTCGGGACGATCGGCGGCACGCGCGACATCTGATCGATATCCGGATGGGCACACAAGCGCCAACTTTGAGCCCGGTGTGTGTGGTTGTCTGTGGGCATGTGGTTGTCTGTCATTTGCTTACGTGTGATTTGGGGGTGACCACGCCGGGGATGTAGGTCACGAGCATCTTGCTCTGCATGTCGTTGGCCATCTTGGTCTGAACAAACCAACCACAAAAACCTTCCGCCCCTCCCATCTCTCTCTCCTCCTCTCTCCATGCTCACCCGTGCCATCTCCGCCTTTTCGGCCTCGTACTGGAACAGCACACGGGGGTCCTCAGTGGGCCGCGGGCGGAACACCCTCTTGGCCTCGGGGAACGTCACCATCAGCGACGCGTCGATGTTGGACGTCCACCCCGCCAGCGCCCGCTCGAACTCGTTGGGGTCGATGTTGAGCTTGAAGTCGAGGGCGTATGTGATGGCCCGCTGGTAGGTGAGGAGGGTGTGGCCGTCGAAGGGGCGGCGGGTGATGCGGGAGGCGCACTCGCGCAGGAAGGTCGGGTGGATGTAGTTGTCCTCCCACATCTAGCAGACAGACAGACAGACAGACGCACGGACGGAATGGGCGAACGCATCAAAGCGCTCAGGCGTGTGTGTGGCTGACCTTTTCGGCGATGTCCATGCACGTGAGCCAGAGGTACTTCCAGTCGTAGTCCCGCCCCACCGGCTCCCCCTGCTGCGCGTGTGCGTGTGCGTGTGCCTGTCCGTGGATTGGCGACACCCCGCCGCCGTTGCCGGCACTGACACCAGTCACCCCACTCACAGGTGGTGCGAACGACACGATAGCCGTCCGCTGCTGCTCGTACAGCCACTGGAGAAATTTTTGGAGATACACAATGCTCGCCGACAAAGTCGTGATGCTGAAGTAACACTGATCTGAAAAGCACCGGACCACACACACACACACACACACAGGCAGCCACACGAATGCTGCGTGCAGCAGAGCAGATCGATCGTCCTGTGGCATGGCGTGTCTGAGTGTGACAGTACCAGTGAGGTAAATGGCCATGTCGAGGACCTGCTTCTGCAGGATGGCGTAGCTGACCGGCTCCGGGCCCGGCTGCTTCCACCCATAGATGGTGCGCGTCAGCTGAGACACGATGCCCAAAAAGTACACTCGCTCAGTGCTGCACGACAGAGGCACCGGCCAGAAAGCACGCGGAGCCATCTCACTCAGACACTCGCACACAGAACACTCCACTCCCGCAGGCCGTTGCGCGCTGACGAACCCCGGCCTCCGAAGCAAAGACAAACGACCGGCTCTCAGACAGTCAGCAGCGAAGCAGTGAGGCAGCCTTACGCAGGAGGCTCCGCTTACAGCAGCGGCATCCCTGTCGGTGCGCCTGCCGGCCCTGCCGCCATGCAGAAGTGGGAAAGTGGCTCAAAAGGTCCTCTGCTGTGGTGGCGGTGATACTGGGAGAGGTGAGAGCGACGGCGCGTGACGGAGAAAGCTTCAGAAAAGAAAGGCGCACGACCAATTTGCGAGCTCAAAAAACGTGGGCAATCCACTCGGTTGCGGTGGAGAGGAGCGATGACGACACGCTGGGGGTGACAGCGGGTCTGAGGTGGTGTGTTGTGCGCTGGCTGAAATCGCAAGTGATTGATCTGTCGTTGACGTGTGCGCCGCTGTGCGGAGGGAGGTGGGAGCGAAGGATGAAGTTCCAGAAACGGTCAGGGGAAGCAAAACACTGCCAGCACCCACTCGCAATGAGATCTACACTCTTGCCTCGGTGTGTGTGTGTGTTGGGTGCAGCATTGAGAAGGAGTTTGAGGCGCTGAGAGGGGGGACAGTGCCTCACGTGAAGCTGGACAACGACACCACCTCCCACGCGCAGCAGAGGATATGGACGGTCACCATCGAGGGAGCCGAGAGCACACTCTACGAGGGTACGCCACACCAAAACAACTCAGCTTCCGTATGCTTGCTTTCGATGCGCGCATCGTTCGGCTTGCTTCTATGTGTGTGCAGGAGAGGTGTTCAAGCTGCGGTTTCGGTTTCCTGACAAGTACCCGTTGGAGTCACCCGAGGTGATGTTTGTGGAGAAGCCGCCGGTCCACCCCCACATCTACACCAATGGCCACATCTGCCTGTCGATACTCTATGAAGGTAGGTGCGTACCACCGGATATGTTGATGCAGGGTGCCCCACGGTGGTATGACACGGTGTGGTGTGTGGCGCGTTGGCAGCGTGGAGTCCCGCGCTGACTGTGTCTGCTGTGTGCCTGTCGATTCTGAGCATGCTCAGCAGCTGTACCAAGAAGGTACGCGCCATGCCGACACACACACACGCGCACACTTTGCACATCGTCTCTGCGTGCCTGTTTGCTTTTCATGGTACAGGAGCATCCCCCAGACAACGATAAGTATGGTCGCATATGCGCAGTCGCCACCTGAGAAAGCCTCCACGCTTATTGTTGTGTGTGTGTGTGTGTGTGGTGTGGTCAGGTATGTGCTGCAGTCATCGACTCAGTCGCCGAAGAGCACCTCCTGGATGTTCCACGACGACCGAGTGTGACTGATCTGATCAGCTACCCTATCTGTCTGTGACGATACTAACTACACAGCGACCCACCCTCTGTCGATGTAGAGAGGCTGGCAGGGCAGAGGAGCTGGGCAGAACAGAACAGAGAAGGGCAGACAGTCAGACAGACAGACAGACAGACAACAGTCTGCCTGTGTCTGACTGTGTGTGGATGTCGGTAATACACGCTTTGCTTTGCAGGCCTTCTGTGTGTTCCTTGCTGCTCATGCGCCCTCATCACTGCACTCGTTCAAGAGACCGATGGACGATCGGTGTCTTGGTAAAGTGTGGTGGGGTGGCCGCGTGCACGGCAAGGGATACACTTGCTCGTTTCCTTTGTGAGTGAGACACTTTGTGAGTGACTGAGTCAGTGAGTGAGGGACTGAGTGCTTCATGCGTGTGTTGTGTACAGTCAGTTCCCCGCCCCCCCTCAAACCAGACAACGGGCCGCCATTTGCTCAATGCTCATTGCTCAGTGTGTCCATTTGTGCGCTGACAGTCGATGAAGTGCATTCCACTCATTGATTCAATGCGATGCCATTGGGCAAGTCAAATCCCTACTGACTTTGTCGAGCTGACTGCGACACTCTCATTCATCGTCTCTTCTCAACATGGGGGGG